GCGGAGGTCGAGTTGGACCAAATCAACTCCGATCTTAAACGTGATCTTTTCGGATCATCCAACACCAACTTCGTAGAAATCGCCCGCCCGCTTAAGGTAAGCCCGATCAGCTTCGTGGGACGAACAGAATGTAGCTAACAACACTTAGGAAAATCGGCGAGAATATTTCAGTAGAATCCTTTCACACGTTCGAAGATTCCCCAAGGACTTCCCCGATCCTCTTAACCGAAAGAAGAGGGTGCTGGAAGAGCTGCCTGTAGCCCCCCCTCCTCCGCCTCAACAGCTTACCTTGGAAGAGATCGATATCGAGAATAATGCGTATCGACGAATGCTCAACCTTTTGAAGGTTCATTTGCAACCTATCATGGAACAGATTAAGCGAAAATACAAGGCGTTCCGTTCTCCCGCCATCCCCCACGCTCAATATCAATACCTCTTCAACGAGGCAGACCCAAATTTCGTGAGACCCGACGTCGCAGATGCGCCCCCGCGTCCGTTCGTGACTGCCAAGGACAAGGATGGCACCCCGGGTCTTCTTGAGACGGCAACGAACAAGTTCTTTTACAATCTTGATATAGTGATGATAGAGGAAAGACTTGCTCATGGATACTATGTAACCCCGCCAGCTTTCCTGAAAGACGTGGAGACACTTGAGAAGGATGCAGCCAATACTGGTGACAAGGCACTTTGGCTTAAGGCGAATGAACTCGTTACGAATGTACGAGTCGACGTTAACGACATCGCCGAAAAGCTCAAAGCTGTTGATTGGGATGCTCAATGGAACAGAGAGCAATATCGCAAGAGAGAAGCAAAACGCATCCAGAAATTACGCAAGCGAGAGGCAGCAATTCAAGCTGCAGCAGGCCAGGTACAATCCGACACCGCTAACGGCCAGGCTCTGGTCCCCCAGGTTGGTCTGCCCCTTGCGAATATGCAGCGAACTACAACGGCGCAATTTCAAGTGATCAGCGACGTCAACACGAATGGAGATGGCTCCCAATCACGATCGGGGCCGAATGGGTCGTCTATGCCCTCTCGCCCTGTAGACAATGATGTCTCTATGACCGATGTCGATAGCCTAGCGGTTCACCCTCCAAGCACCCCAATGCAACCACCCTCGCAGTGGCCCCGCGTGGATCCCCGATCTCACCACACGTCGGTCCAAGCAACATTAGGGGAGACGATGCGGCTATCCCAGGTCTCGGCCGTACAATCTCTCCCTCCGGGCGTCTCGCCGTCAGCAATGGTAAACGATGCCTCTACTACCAAAACATCAGATCCTTCCAATCGATCGTCCAACTTTAGTACGCAGATGACCAATGGCGTCCACCACGAGCAATCCAGCCCGACCGAGAATATTCCAGATACCCAGCCGTATCCCGGAGGAAGTCAAACCACATCTAGCGACGATCAATGGCCACACTCGCAGGCTCATGGCCTTCTGCGGGGATATATTCAGCAGCCTGGATCTCAGCAGCCTGGCTCGTTCCAGGGCCCGCGTAGCCTAGCGCCGTCGGCCGGAGGCAAGTCTTCACACGCTCCTAGCATGGCGAATTTATTGAACGACCCTTTGCCCGACGAACAATCACTGTCGCAACGCCAGTCCGGCCCGTCTGCGGCTTCACAGCAAGTCGAGATCGACGAAATTCAAGCCTCGTTTTTCTTGGACCAAGTGACGGATCGCACTTCCGGCTGTACTATCGAGCAGCTGCAACAGATCTACCGCGAGATGATGGTAGAGCTCTGGAAGACGCGGGGCGAAAGTAATCGGATGAAAGTGCTCAACTCAGTCACGCGTATCTTTAATGAAGCTATCAAAGACATCGAGTCGATCCAGCAACTACTGCATGCAAGCCAGCCTGCGTAAGTGAACCACGCGGAGGATGGACTGGGCCGGTGACGACCTATAAAGAAAGTAGAAAGAGAGTGTGTAATGCTGATATACCTGGGCGTGGGCCCGTTTATGTAATTATAGTAAAGCCCGACAAGGCTGATAAGGAAGGGCCCGAGGAAATCGCGCGATGCGATGAGCATCTGTGGCCTTGAGATGGCCTGCTTAGTCATTGACTAGGTGTATTACCGGTGGAAAAAAAGAGAAAGCAAAGGTTAGCCACAGCAAGGAGAATGGCAACCCAGATGGTCTGGATGGTGGATGCGTTTACGGCTTTATGATGGCTTGGCTCACGCCTACTTCCCCCCCTTTTTTTCTTTCTTCTCCATAGGTTCACCCAGATTCTGCTTTAGGAATACACTTCGGTAATACCAAATGCAAAGTCTCTTTTCCTACCTACCTATGTTTCAGTGTCGCTACGTAGGTGTTGTGAGACCTCAATCTAATGCGAGTAGGTGGTAAGTTAGGTGGTAAGTTATAGTAGATTAAGTACGCTATACCTTTGGTATCTATGAGCTTACAGATGGATGCCTTAGGACGATGGGGGAAGATGTCGAAGATGATCTGCAAGTAATAAGCCCGTTGGCTTTGACTAAGGCCCTGACGCAATCTTTGATCATCTATCGGATTTGTAAACTGTAAATCATTCAAGGGCAGTTATTTCGCTTTTAGAAACGATTCTGACAACCATCACTTCTTTGGCTTAAGATATTGGTTCAATCGAAATAAAATGTAGAAGTAATGTACAATGAAACAGGTACTTTATACTCTATCTTGTATTATGTAGGTATTCCAAAACTCCATCCCAATGTTCTACTATGTCATGCCAAACCGTATCTAGGGGATACAACACGCTAGCAGCTTACGTCTCGTAAACAGTTCCCGGCGCCGGCAATGTCAGATTCAGGAGATAATCATTCAAAGCACCCGTCGTGTCGCCGCCGCGCAGGTAGCTCGTGTGGCCACTCCCGTTGCGCGTCAGCAGCACCGACCTATCCTCGCCGATCTCGGCGTGCAGGCCCAGGCCCCAGACGTAGCTCGTCGACGGGTCGAACGTGCTCTGCGCCATCAGCACCGTCGTCGCGCCCGTGTACGCGATCGGCTTCGGCGGGTTGCTCAGCGCCGCCGGCCACCCGACGCACGACGTCTGGATCTTGTAGCTCTGGCACGCGCCGCCGTTCAGGGGCGCGAAGTTGGCGCCCAGCGCCGCTTTTTCTAACAGGTCGTCTAGCGTCTGCGAGGCGTGCGTCCAGTCCTGGCACGCGATCGCCGTGCCGGCCAGCAGCGACGAGTCCGCGTACGCGTCGCCCGTCGCGAGCGGCTGCTGCTGCGAGAGCAGCGTCGCGTTGCCGCCGGCGGCCTCGGCGAGCGCCTGCCCGAGGCTCGGCCACGAGGCCGTCGAGATGAGCGCGCCCTGCACGATGAAGCGCAGGTCCTCGTCGGTCAGGTCGCTGCGGCAGGTGGTGGTGTTGTCGCAGCCCGGCGCCGGGATGGGCGACGCGGTGGCCTTGGCGAGCACGCTCTCGAAGACGGACTGGACGTCCCGGCCCGCCAGCGGACACGCGTCGGCGCCGTCGGTGGTGGCGTTGGCGCTGGCGCTGGCGCACCAGGTGAAGAACTGCTTGAGCGTGGCCTCGTACGTGGTCGACTCGATCAGCAGGTTGGACGACTCGCTCTGCGAATGCTGCAGGTTCCCGTCGAGGACGAGCGCGCGGATGTTGTCGGGGAACAGCTCCGCGTACTGGCTGAAGAGCTGCGTGCCGTACGACAGGCCCAGGAGACTGACCTTCTCGCCGCCGAGCGCGATGCGCACCGCCTCGTGGTCCTTGGCGGCGCTGATGGTATCCACGTAGTCGATCAGCCGCCCCGTCTCGGCGCGGCAGCTCTCGCCCAGCGCCTTGTTGTAGGCGACCAGCTCGTCGAACTGGTCCTGCGTCTTAGGGAAGAACGACACCCGCCGGTTGTACGCGGCCGGGTCGCACCGCACCGGCGCGCTGAGCCCGACGCCCCGCGGGTCCAGGCCGACGACGTCGAAGCGCTCGAGGATGCGCGGGTCGAGCCGGGACGTGACGGAGGCGATGAAGCTGGTGGCCTGGCCGCCGGGGCCGCCCGGGTTCAGGAATAGGTTCCCGATGCGGTTGGCCTGGTCGCTCGCCTCGATGCGCACGAGGCCCAGCTCTATCGTCTCGCTGCCGGTGGGGTCGCTCCAGTCCAGAGGCACCAAGTATGTTCCGCACGTGAGGTTGGATGAGACCGAGTCCGGGCAGGGAGCCCATGTGATGTTATTTGTGGCATTATCGCTGGAAGCGGCTTTCTTAAGCACCGGTAGGGGAGATGCCGTGCCCAAGGTCGCGAGCGCGAGGAGCGCCGCTTGGGTGAACGTCGATGAGGGACTCATGGTGATACGATTTCGTTTGATGATCAAATGAAGGTAAGCACTCTGAAAAGGAGAAGAGTTATCGTAATCGCCGCAATATATATATATAATCAGGCTGATCTAGTGACCAGACAGTATATAGCACTAGCACTGCTGCCTACTGCTTACTACCTTCCTGATGCCGATTATTACACTTGACGACGCTAGACCACATCTTCGCAAGCGACGCTTGGAATGAGCGAACGAGCGCGTCGCAGCGGCCGTCCTGACGAAGGGGCTAAGCTGCGACTCGTCCCTGCATTGACGATCCTTGCCCCGAACGAACCCCTATAGGTGGGAATTGTACGACTCTCTCATTGGCCAGTAGCGCATCTAGTTCCAGGGGAAAGGCCCTGATTGGGCAAGTAGCTGGAAGAATTACAGGCAACGGGTAGGCAATTTCCACGACCCTTGCTAAACTGTCACCGTGCTGCCATGTCGCGAACCCCAATGCTCCCCTCCGCGAGAACACAGCCGCGATCCATAGCGCGGCAAGGGTGTAAATGTTATTCTTTTGGCAATTCATCTCAAGCTTGGTCGGCGACTGAGGCGCAAGAGTAAGCACAGCTGAAAAGATAGTACTAAATGATAAGATTTAATTGCACAAATAGTCTATTAGCGAAACCACATCAAAATAGTATTGGCGTCGCGGAAATAAGAAATGGTAGACCCACGGGGAGAACAAAAAGCTAAAGTTCCGAGCGTGGTTTGAACACGCGACCTTGGGATGACTGCTTTTGACTGCAATCCTACACTCTACCACTGAGCTACCGGAACCTAGAAGATCGTAGGTACTCATCTTCTCGTCGGAAGATTAATTTTCCGCTTGCCTAATTGAGCCCAAGTAGCCTGATTGCAATACGTACTTGACGAACTCTCTCTTTCCAACTTCCGCTTTCAATCTACATAAGCATCTCCTATAACGCAGTGTCTATGTTTCTTACATTTCGAGCGTAGTATCACCCCTGTCTCGCAGTCCGGGGGTACACGAATCATGTCGCTATCCTGTTGAATCCCGTATCGGTCCGTCTTCCATCATAAAAAGCCATCGGCTTTCAAGGTACATGTGCGCTATATTGCTAAGGTCTTATTTCCAAGTACTATTCTGTTAGTATATACTTGCTTTTATGACGCCTCGCGGTCTGGTAAAAGCTATTCTCGGGGAAGACCTTGTCCCGAGGCTCAGGAGCCATCTTCATCTCACTATAGTTAATGCTATGGACATCTTACGGAAATCCCATTATAAACATGGTGAGTTTTCAACTTGCAGGAAAGATCATGTTGGTAGATTGAATGTAGATTTGGAGCGGGCCTCATGTTACTTTGCATTATCGTAGAAAACACGCGGGAATGTCGTCTGACCAGTATATGGCAAAATTGTTAGGTTGCTACTTTTCGTTACCCCTACCTGCTAAGATCTACGAAATATGATCTAAGGTTCTGCTCCATCCCGCCGTTTTCTTTCTTCTTCTTTTTCTTTCATATTCCCAAGTCAATGTGAACTTGCCAAGCTTTCGTCACCATGTATATCGTTGACCCTGGCGGAGACATAATTCTTACTCTGGAGAACACGTGTGCCCCATTCGCTGTGTGGTGCAAAGATGACGCAACAGCTTCCCCGGGACATCAGAACTCAAACAGCCTCGCCGAATGCAATAACGAAAACGAGCAAATCCTAATGACGAGACCAGTAACGTTTCGGATTTCCTCACGACAACTTATCTCTGGCTTCGGAGAGGACCACGAAACTGCGGCACCAATGGGAACAGGAAAAGCAATCCGACGGATATATTCACATTTCTGTTGAAGACTGGGATCGTGGTGCACTTCCGACTATTATGGACATAATTCATCTTCGAAATAGACGAGTGGCAAATTCTGTCAATTTTTCCCAACTAGCCGTCATAGTCGATTACTTCGAGTTCCACGAAGCTGTTGAGGTTTTTAGTAAGAGATGGGTCAACAATCTAAAGCGTGAGATTCCGACATCATACTGCCGGGACCTTATCCTGTGGATATGGGCTTCTCATGTATTTCAAGAAAAGAATATTCTCAAGACCGTCATCAATACTGCAGTCCAGCACAGCCCAAGGCAAATACAGAGTTTAGGGCTTCCCATTCCAGACTCCACGATAGGTAAGCCACATACACTATCTATTCATAGCTCCATTGACTTACGGGTTATCTGACAATGTGCATAGACAAAGTAAACAAGCGGAAGAAAGTCGCGGCAATTCAGATTGTTAATGGACTCCGCACGCTCAAAGATTACTTACTGAACACTGAACAATACACAGGGATGTTCCTACGCGTGTCGGCACCCTCTTTTAAAAGGCCTGCAGCCTTACCACGTGTTTGGATCAACGTCAGAACCTCTCTCGGGACATAATTTACTAAACGTAATCAAGAGCATTGGCGAAACATACACTCCTTCGTTCAAAGGTAATACTTATAATTATACTATGGTAGGTTTAACAAGCTTTTTCCCAATCAAAGTTAAAAAGGATATTAAAATACTAACAGTCCGTAGTGAGGAAATCTCTGTGGGACAGCTAGTAATGGGGTTAAGGCGCCTAGGATTACTAAAAGGGTCCTTCAGATAATTCATGTAATAAGAAAATATTAATTATCATATCTCTTTATTAGATCTAGTGGAAGCTAATAGTGATTTACTTGATATACCCAATTATTAGAACCATCTAGGAATGGATAAAGTTGTTAACTTGGGTGGGATAATAGTAATAATGATAGTAATATATTTTAACGTCTATTGCCCTACCTATATACAAGGTAATTAGACGGGCTCGCGACGGTAGCAGAGCCATGTTATTTTTATGTTCCGTATGGGTAAAGAAGAAATGTACATCAGACACCTAATCCATAGCCCAATTATTATGGTAATAGCGGCCCTAACTTAACTCCCATCCTTAGAAATCATGGCACACACCCCTTGCTAGAGTAGGGACTGTATAAATCTGGAGGTTGGTACGCCTCACACCCATAACAGTATATATATACAGGGCATAAGGCCCTCTTAGACATACCTATGACTTATCCTTCTAATTTAATTATTATGACATTCATAACCTGCGTTCTATTTCAACACCCCTCCTCGGGCAGCCTTAGGTGAGCTCCCTCCGTGACAAGTGGCCCAAAACTTCAACTTATAGATTATAGCACACACCTTTCCCCCAATAATAACCGACAAGACTAATCATATACCCGCTAAAACCTCCTATAAGCTACCAGCTATACCGATCGAGGTGCATTATCGGCAAGCGGATTTATTTCATTAGGTTGTTTACATAACTCTGCCCTTCCTCCGTAGCTAAAACCTGATTGTTCGGTTACTCTTAGGGTTTGGCTGATCAAAGTAGGATGTATGCCATTTAAACATTTTAAAGGGGTGATGTCAGTCGTATCAAACTTGTAGATCGCACATATAATCGCATCACAAGTTACGCGCAAAGCGCATAACGCAATGAGAGAAATGTAACCACTTCGGATCTAGAGGCGTGGCCTGCATATCTATCTGCAGCAGGCATAGTGGTTATCGTTCTTGTTGGCTGGATATTTTTCGTATTCGTGGGTAGTTCTAAAGCTTTGAAGGCTTCCCAGCCCTGTTTTCTTCGTCTAACCAGCCCAGCCAATGCTACACAAGGGCATGCTATCAGTCCATAAGTGGTCCAGAGACTCTCCCTGTTAGCGCATATGGGGCAGTGGCGCTGTGAGTCGACTCCCTACGATTTCATCCGCGATTGCTATGACACTCTGGATTGAGCGCTCACTAAGAGCGATGACGATGGTATGAAGACCGCTTTTGCTATCCGAAACTACATGCGGTTATCTAACGGCTAGAAGCTGCTGAGTCTAAGTGTGATCGAATGCGTCGAGATCGAAAGTGTGCAAGGTTTCGTCAAAGATAACTAAGCTAATGACGCCTATGTACGATATATAATACTCTGGATCACCACCATGGTTACAGCATAATCAACCTGTTGCCGCTTACCATACCTTGAATACCTCGCTGCACATTGTCGAACCGAGTACAGCCGCATGACTCGCTCTCAAGGTGACTGATGAATCCGGCCAGCGTCGTGAAGTCCTTCCCACACCGCGGATTTGGGCAGTGGTACAGAGCCTCCTGATCTGCCGACGTCTCGTCGTTAGCTTGTATTTCCTTGCCACAGGACAAACGAAATATTGGACTTACGGATCGGAGATCTCAAATGCTGCTTAAGACTTGATAACTGTCCAAATAATTGATGGCAGATATCACACTCCCAGCCCTGACGATTCCAATTATACGAACGATCATTAGCCTCATATTGCGTCGTGCCGTGCCAACCAATCAGGTTTTTGGTAACAACGCCTCGGGAATCCACGCTACGCACGAACTTGTACAGAGTGTCGCGGGTTAGGCCGCGAGCGTCCGGACACGAGCCAGTTTCTATGTGGTGCGTAAGGCCGGTGGCTGTGGTATGGTGGCTCCTGCAAAAAGGACATTGGATCTGCTGGCCGCGATGGATTCGAGAGTTGAGATGCTGTTATGGGGAGGTCAGTCATGCCAGATAGAGATGGGTAGGGGGAAGACTTGCCATTTTAAGATTGTTATAGTTCGTGAAGGTCTTCCGGCATTCACTACAGTAGTTATGGTCTTCGCGTTCGTGTTCGACCCGCCGGTGTTCTGTCGGCCAGGTCTCATCGCAGATTGTGCAGCCCCACTCGAAATGGTTTAATGCTTCCATGTGCTGAAATCGCGCTCTTTCAGAGCCGAAGTAGCGGGGGCAGCTATCACACTCAAATGTGGGGGCACGGTGGCCTGTAGACCGTATGTGGTTCTCTCGAGCTTGCCATCCTGCCTTGAAGACTCTGGCACATGTACCACATTCAAAGTCGCAGCTCATGGTCAAGAATATTGACGTAATGTGGTAGATGTAGAGAAGACAGAGCATATGCGAGGAGGTTAGTCCCGGCTATTCGAGTGCGAATAGAAGCTTGAAATTAGCAACTGCTGAGTCTATCTAAGGAAGGAGCCAAGGCTATCTTATATATCTGGAGCTTCTGGCAGCGCGCCGAAGCTCTCCAGGCGTGGCGCCCCTGGCGTCCGGGGCGCGGCGGGCGCGGCGCCCCTGGCGCCCAGGGCGCGGTGGGCGCGAGGGTGGTCACATGATATCCTTAGTCAGAAGACCCACTTATACGGCTCCAGGTAGGTCCCCCTTTTCAGGCCGCATATCAGGCCAGCAAGCCATGATCGTGACATTATTTTTTAAAAAGAATTTTAAAAATTAAAATAACGTATTATTATTTAAATATATAATATTCTAAGCTTTTAATATGAAATCTTGTAATAATTTATGCTTATACTGATAATTTCTTACGGGGTATATTAAAATGATATGTAAAATAACAACCAGTGTAATTCCACGTGGCTTTCCGCTTTAGATGACGGCGGGAAATTAATAGCAAAGCGACTTACCACTTCTAGTCGGCATCAGTACGAAAACGTCTTTCCCGGCGAGCGTGGCATGAATAGCTTCTAATCGGTTATGCCTGAATTGGGTCATGTGGAATTGGTCTTGGGGGGACCTGTTTTATTTCCTTGGACCAGAAATGCTATATCGAGGGAAGAGATTTGCTTAGTATTGGCTGTGTGATTTTTGACTATGGTTGTTAAGGCTGGGCATCACATCCTATCTTCTCCGCAGGGGCAGGCGGTTGATACAAATCCATCAAAGAGCCGAGCTGGGCTTCGAAGGATTTGGAGATATCTGAAA